CACCTCCCTCCTCCACTACCACCCCTTACCATCTTCTTCTCTGGCGAGGTGGAGCTGCCGGCTGGTAGGATCCGAGGCTCCCGGGGCCGGATCTAACGCCTCCACCTCCCTGCGCCCCTGCTTGGTGAAGAAACCCTCGTCGTAGGCTACACGTGGCGGACAGCCAGATCCAGGCCGGAGGCCGACGGAAGACGCCCTGCAACGGCGCCAGCGGCTGCCTGGGGCCGGGGCCTGGCTGGACCCATCCGCAATGCTGCTGGCGGCCAGGGCCGAGACTGGCGGCGGCCTGGTTGGTTCCGGCGGTCGGGTTGGGGCTGGGACTGGGGCCTGGCTAGAGCCGGGTCTGGCGGCGGCCTAGCTGGGGCTAGCGGCGACCCCTGGCCCTGTCCGCGGTCAGTGCCCAGCAGCAGCTCGTCCCTGGCCTAGATCCGTGTGATGCCGAGTCAGCGCGGTGGCGCCCCCTGCGCCTGCACTTGCACCGTTGTGGCCATGCCTGTCGTCGTTGTTGGAGCCCATGCACCGGTTTCGGCCTCTTCGTCGGTGCGGTGACCTTGGATGCGTGGAGTTCTAGGCAAAAACTCAGCTCAGCTTTGGCCGGGCAGACAACGGTGATGCCCCAGGCGCCACATACCTTCTTAGAGGCGTCGTTGATGAACCCCATGCTTCCCGCCGGCGGCGTCAGATTCTGGGTGTAAGCCCCGCCTTACAAGCTGTAAGGCCAGCGATGATGGCGTCCATGGTGGTACCCTTGGGCGTCATCCCCCTTCTTGAAGGCGTCGCTGAAGAATCTCTTATGGCTCGTCCCCCGTGTGGTCGCCGACATCAGTGGCTCCTTCCGTGTCGTCGGGCTCACTGTGCCTGAATGTGTTTATGTTCTACTCGTAATGGTTCTCCTGCAGCAATTGACCTTGCGTTGTCGTCTAGCTTTCATAGCGGATGCTTTGCCGCTATCGCTGTCTTCATGGCGGATACTTGGCCGTCATTGGTTCTTTTGGTAGATACTTTGCTATCGTTGTCGTTGGCCCCCACTATGGCAGATGCTTTGTTGCCGAGTGTGTTATGGTCGTTCCCCTTGCGGATGCTTTGCCGCAGTAGGTGTCGTCGCTTCTTCCCCGACGGATACTTGGCCGTCAATGGAATCCTTGGCGGATGCTTTGCCGCCATTGCCTATTTGGCGGATACTTGGCCGTTGTGTCTTCGTTGGCGGATGCTTTGCCGCCGTTGCTGCTTTAGGTGGATACTTTGCCACCATGGCACTGTCTTGTTTGTAGGCAACCATTGTGTTGTATCTTTTTTACAGGCTCAGTTTGTAGGTTCCAGGTGTTGTGGGCAGTCGCTCATTTCCCTCTTTTTTCTTGTTCTTATAAGTTGTATTCCAAGTCACTCACCACTATCTTTATGGTTTGTAATCTGTGCTACGAAGGTTCTCTCGTAGCTGCGTCGTATAATTCTCTTCGTCTTAATGAAAAACGGGCTATATTCCCCGGTCGCGAAAAAAGAATAACATAAATACAAAAGGGTACAAAGTACAGACACTCTCTTATGTTCCAAGTTCTCTTCCATCATCCTGCAAATTATAATTTCGAAACGTTTTGTAACAAACATCGAATTAGACCATTTTTAGAACCTTAGGATTTCATATCTGAACAAACACCAGAACTCAGAACTCATATTGCAGTTCACACAAACAAGACACAACACAGATGATCTATGTCTAACTCAAGCCAGTACTTTAAACAAAGTTCTGCAGTTGTCCACTAGAGAACTGTGCCAAGGAAAGGATCGCCGCGACCAGGGTTCGATCTAAAGTGCTCCATATATAGCATCGTAATCTTAAGGCCTATAGCAGACCAAACGGACGAAATTCCGGAGAAACCCTACACTCCACATCAGCATCCATTCCATTCCAATCTCTTACAAACAATCAAGCACAGTATCGAATTAAGTAACGGCGATGAGCCATCCACCGGAGAATTCAGTGAAAAGGAGTGGCATGCACATCAAAATTCCACTGCACAGGATTAGGGACTAAAGAGCGACGAAATCGCAACCCTTGGGTAAAGGATGTGGGGAATTGATGTTTAGGGGGAAGCTTACGTTGTCCTTGACCTTCCGAACGATGGCGCGGCGGAAAGCATCGAAGTCGCCATCGTCCTTGAGCCGCCCCACCACCTCCGCTGCCGTCGGCGGCCGCCGCACGGCGCAGCCGCCATGATCGCTCATGGTAATGGGAACGGGGAGTGCGGGCTGGAAGCCTCAATACCAGTTTTGCTGTGGTGAGGAGCCTGACTTCAATTCAAAGATCTACTTACATTTAGATCTCAATATTGATCGACGGGCATGAATAAAATATCAGCCATCGGATGCAACAGACCTGATGGCTAGAAAAATTTCACTTGCACTTACTCCGCAATCAGGTGGAAGTAAAAAACGATCACATAAATATCTCATGTAACCTGTCTCCATGTTTAAGCTAGGCCAAAGAATAGTCATGGCCGGTTTATTGTTATGATTACTTGCGTCAATACTTTTATTTTTTTATATCATGTATAAACAAATGCATTCTTATATACAAGACCATTTGACCCAGGTTTACGGAAACATCAAACGGGTGCTGCTACGGTGCTACCTTGCTGCTTGCTGGGATACCAGCTCATACGGGCAGCACAAGTCTCTCTTCCCACTTCTTCAAAAATCGTATCATGCTTACAATTACAGCGGTGAATTGGACCTCCTTTTTATAAGATGAATCAGCTAATGAATTGACACAGTGTGTGAGCTGGCACACGCTGATTGTTTGACAATGATCAAATTTTTTTGATAACTGTCATATAAGCACAGAGGAAACAAAAAACAAAAATGAAGCCCAAGGGAAATCTAGATCCATGAATGGGCAACGTCTGGTTGAAAAAAAAATAACAGTGACCTGAGTTATCATGATACATGAGGTAAGTGAGAGATCAGCGATCCCTCTATAATCAGTGTGTTCGTTTCGGCTGAATTGGCTTATAAGCCATGACTGAAAGTACTGCTGGCTGGTTTAGCGTGAGAGAAAAACACTGTTCAAACTGTGGATTATAAGCCAGATACGAGCGAATAAGCCGAAACGAACAGGCTGAATATCGCTAGTTTGTTACTGATGCATGTCTGAACCTCAGCAAGCACTGTCAGACGATCAAGCATATAAAGCAGGCAGTATTATTAGACTGCAGATGCCGCATTCATATCCAGGTTACAGGCTTTCAGAGTACAGCTCGGGAGGCATACAATGAAACATGACAAAACCCAGGCCGTCAGATGTCATCAGAGAACTAAAATGAGGCTGAATGTATGTCTTCTCAGTTGTGTTCACACCTAAATGCTCAGTGTCCTGGAAACAAGTGGAAGCTTAACGGGTAAAACGCTCTGTAATCGACTTGGGTATGAAGCTGGTTGTGCTCGATTGTTTCTCCAGTCTGTGTGTAGGATCTCTGGTTGGCCTAGAGGGGGACGGGGTGAATAGGCCTGTTAAAACAAACACTCAAACTTTTATCAAATTCACCCTGCAGCACTGCCGGACCAGAACAGCGGCACTGCCGTACCTGCAGACAACAACTTCGAATCACAGTTCAAAATCCGTGAACGAAAACTTAGATCAGAGAAATTTCCTAACTTACTGCAAGTATGACAGTCACAGATCAAGAGCTAGAAGTGGTAGAAACACCACACATAAGTAGATCGACTAGAAACGCTAGAAATCACCTCAACTACAATATGTCATGCAAGTTATGTAAATCAAGCACAAGTGACACAATGATTTATCCCGTGGTTCGACTCGCCACCAAGGCTTCCCTACCTCTACGTTGTTGAGGTTAACCACTAAGGCTTAGGGCTTTCCAACCCTTCCCCGTTCTCAAGTCAAAAGACTTAACTCTTGAGATAAGGGGTGAGTTTACTAGTTTCAAGAGATGGTTACAAACCTCCCGGGGCTACCACACAAGTTGGCAAGCTCCACGGGCGACGCTCTAGCCAGCTAGGAGCCAAGCTCCAAACCGCCGACCAAAATGTGAACTAAGTGCTCTTGAGAGTTGGAGAATCAATGGAGCTGCTCTCTAATCGAGTTTTAGACCCTTTTCCCTCAAGGATTGATGGAGAAATCAATGGATTTGCTTGGGGGCTCAAGGTCAACAACGGAGGGAGAGAGAGAGCTCCTGCTCTGTTTTGAGCGTGCTGAAGTGAGGAAGAAGTGAGGAAGAAAAGGCAGAGAGCCGTTGGGGAGGAAGAGGAAAGGTATATATACCCCCCAGCCCCCAACGGTCACCGACAGAGCCCGCGGCCTCGAGGTCGGGCGAGACGGAGACCGCGTCCTTGGGGTCGGGCGAGACGGAGCCCGCGCCCTCGAGGTCGGGCGAGACGGAGCCCTCGGCCTTGGAGTCGGGCGAGACCTTTTAATACGTCTCGAGCCATCCGGGGAAGTCAGCGTGGGCGCTAACTTCCTTGTGCCGCGACTCAAGTGCGGCCATGCCTCTCTTCAAGTGCGGCAGTGCCGCACCACGCAAGACAGCAAGGGTAATAGTGAAGTGTAGACTGTCTTGGCTGTGAATCTAATGATGCATGTGGTTGTTTGAGCACTTAGTAGCACATTATTAGCTTAAGCATTGTGTCCCCCTTTATAGTACAGTTTTTCCTATACTTAAATTCAAAATATAAAAGAATTAAAACCTTCTTTGAGTTTGAAGCCATCTATATTTGTAATTGGGGGCTTCTCCGTTTCGTGTAGCATCCTCGAATATAAATTCCCTTCTTGTCATCTCGATAAATCTCATTAGTTCTCTAATTGCGTGGTCATTATCACAAAAACCATAATTAGGGCTTAATTGCACTTTCACTATGTCAAGTAATGGACAGTCATATTAGCATGAGACATAAGAGTGTAGACAATATATGGAGCGGCGAAGGCAGCGAGGAGAACCTTTCAATCTCTTCCACAGATTTCATTATTTGTTCTGAACTCGTTTCAGTCACCTGTCCCCCAATATCATCTCATCCAAAATCGTGTGCAGCTGCATCAGATATTGACAGTTAAATTAAAGGAACATGAAGAAACACAAGAACACAGTGAATTATCGGCGCATTTTGTCTTAAGACTGAGCATTTATATACATAAGCGTCAAAGTACATCTCATTGTGAACATTTGAGAATGCAGTGAACAAGGGAAAACCAGCACGATATGCATCCGCAGGTTCAGTGCTAAGGAGCTAAAGTTTAGCGTACCCCTCCTTAGCTACCAGTATCTGCATACTAACAAAATTCTATTGCCAAGGCATGAAAATATGTTCCAGTAGCCTGGTCCTTCATTGCTTTTCAAGTTCTACACCACTGGGAGGTGGCAAGCTAAGGTGGACAGCAGCGATAATGGGTAGGAAGCAGGAAGGATGGTGCAGATTTCCTAGTTTTGAAGTTGCTCTGTAATATATACACGATGCTATCTTTTTTGTTTAGGTTGTTTCTGTCTATTGTCAGCATAGATTTCGGAAGAGTGAGGACTCTCCTCTACATTAGGATGTGCGCAATGCAGAGCCAAAGAAGGCAATGGAATTAAAAAAGGAGTCCTATGTATCTCAAGTTCTCAACTCTATCTCTCTGATTAGCCAGTGCGGCGGTGCAGTGCCCTCCATCATTTAAGGCAGCTGTCATCCAAACTCCACCTGGGGTGATTCTATGTCATAAGAAAATCATCAATTTGAAGCCTATCTATATTGCTTTAAAGTCAGAGAATGGGCGCACTTGTCTATTACAACCGCAAATTAATTAGATGGATAGATAATGGTATAGCTATTCTGCATAACAGGGATTCTTGGAGTCAGGCATTTATTATACTCAAACTTTCGGATTTGCACTGCATATGACCTGTGCATCAGAAGGCTTAATTTGATACAGATAACCCAACTGCTGCCAAAAAATGGTGATGCAGCGTTGAAAAGCTTCTGCATTCCACCTTTTTTGCTGCCCAAAACAAGCAACATGCAACTAAAGAATCATAAATGAAAATTTCAGCAGGATAAAAACCATACATCCTTGATAGGCACACAATGTAGTATAAAAAGATAAAAAGGGTAGGATCATGTGGTACCTTGTTGAAGTTAAACACAATGTCAAGCTCGCATACATTCTTAAAGCATTTGTCCAATGTTTCAACAAAAACTGTGCACGAGACAAAGTTTGAGTAATCAATCTCCTAGAATCAGAGCTGATAACAGTGTTGTTCGACAAAAGGAAGACAAAATAAGCCTTCAGTGACAGTGAAGTGCAAGGTGAAAATTTCAGTAGCTAGACAGAATTGGTGGACAGAGAAGAAAGTTGAGAACAAGCTAGTGTAGTTACATCAAAATTCACAGGTACTTTGTAAAAGAAAAATAATGCATTAAATACAGAATAAAAAAAGTTAAATACAAGGGTGATTAAATGCTGAAAGAAGCACAATAAATAGCTAATGATTGTACAGTAAGACAGAACACACTGAATATAATTCGCTTCTTAGAAAAAATGAGAATGCTTTCCTCTTTCATCAATAAGCCATTAGGTAACCTTGTATCAGATCGAGCATGGCAAGCTCATTCTCAGAGCTATCAAATACAAAAACAAAGTATAGTGTGGCCAAATGCTTGTAGACCATTTTTGTTCCCTGCAAAGCGCAAAGAAGAAAACCAAACCTTATCACCTCTCTGTCAATAATATGAGCAAATTAACCTAGATAGGGCAACTTAACCACTGGGCAGTTAGCACAGCTTAGATTACATACAGATGCCTAAGATACCAATCTGCATGTCTGAAGCCAAGGAGAAAAATGGCATCTGACCAATTAACTTTTTTCATTCATTGCTAGCATTTGCATACCAGTTGCCCCTTTAGCAAAGATTTACTACTTTATCAACCATTACCAGGCAAAATATGGAGTCCACCTTGACAAAATCGCTCACGCTGTCGGGTCTTGCAGAGAGTACTGCAAGAAGAAACTCCACAGCTCAGCGTCCATACAAAAAAAAATGAAGAAATGAGGAACGGAACCGTGCATACATTGGAAGACACTGCGGACGAGGTCCTGATGCTTCTCGGGTGGCTGCAACCATAAAACGGAGAAGTAAATGAATTAAGGACAAGAACATTTGCTTTGCTGACTTAATTCCTCGAGCAAGAAAGGATCCATGGATGAAGCAGTGGTTGATCTGGGTGGGGAAATTGATCGAGCACTTGCTGGGTGGTGAAGAAAGAGAAGGGACTAGGTGACGAATGAAGAGAAGGGAGAAGGTTTGGAACCTGGAAATTATAAAACTTGAGGAGGCGGGGCTTGGCCTGGGTGCTGATGACCATCACCGCCTGGATCATGGCGTGGGCTACGAGTAGGAGGCGGCGCTGGCTGGGACACTGGCAGGGCAACGATCAGATCGCGAGCGCTAGTCAGCGGAGGAAGCCGATGAGTAGTGCCCGTTTGGTAGCGCTCCTGGAGGCGCTCCAGCAGCAGCTTCGCCTCCACCGCTCCACGCCAACCAAACGGGACCGCAGGCGTCCGCTTCGCCCTCCCAGAAACGCCCCTCCGTGCGCGCGAGGCGCCGCGCCGGGGCGCGGGCCGCTGGACCGTGGGCGCCGGAGCGGAGCAGCGGAGTCGCAGGGCCGTGGGGAGCGGAGCCGCCGGAGCGAAGCTACTGATTCGCCGGCGCGCGGCTGCGTGGGACTGCTGGAGCGCCGGGTGGGTCGGAACTCGGAGGTCGGAGGCAGCCGCACGGAGGCAGGTGTCACGGGCGGATAAAAGAAGGGTTAATGAGATGAGCAGAGATAGTATCCTTTTTGAGCGCACTGTTAGATATATGGAAATGACGGACTTGGATCAGGTGCAGTTACAACTGCTACTGCAACTTTAGCAGTAGCACCCGATCCAACCATCCAGCAAGGACTCAACGTCCATGATCATCCGGACATGACCTCTCGCTTGGTAGCTGCTGATCTACTGCGGGATGACTAAGTAAAGCAGGCTGTTAGTAATCTGATGGGATGTTATGGATATTTAAAAATTGTAGGTAGTAAACAAAATTAAAGAATAGATCATATTATAATAATATAATTTGCTCTAAATTGGGAGGTTAATGTTATCTAAAGTAGAATTGTTTTTGTATTCATTGTAACGCAAAGTACATGTCGTAGTACTCCCATCAATGTAGGGTTAGTGACATTATTTTTCCTGACCAAATGAAACATAGCATAAATTATTTTTCACCGTGGAGGAAAATCTCGGCAGGTATGATTTGTATATTATATTTGTTGTAAATTTTCCTTATGTTTCCCTTTTTTATATTGTGTAAATTGTTCAGACTCTTGTCTGGAACCGAAGAATCTGTACCAAATAGCTAACAAGTGAAACATTTCAGGTCAACACTGTTCCAAGCGATTCAGGTTTTAACGTGAATCGGTAAAAATGTGGTTTCGCAGTGATTCTGAAAACGTCGAGGCCACGCTCGCTCTCGTTGGGCCGGGGGGGTCCGCTTTCATCAGCGTGGGGGCCATGCTCGCGCTACCGGTTTTGCTATGACTTTTTGGCCCCGTTCGCTTCGCTGAAAAAACAAGCCGAAACAGTGATCCGACTGATTTGTTGTGAGAGAAAAACACTGTTCTGACTGAAAAAACAAGCTGAAAAGTACGGATTATAAGATAAGCGAACAAGGCCTTTACTACTTCTCGTCGGCACGGGGACCGTGCCCGGTCTCGGCGGCGGCCTCTCCGAGCACCGGTGGCCCCGCCCTCGTCGGAGGCCTCTTGCAGCGTGGGTGCCGCACCACGCCGAGCCCTGCACTCGCCTCGCCACCGCAGGAGAAGAGGAAGGATCACGCAGGCGAAGAACAAGAGGAAGGATGGCGCTGGAGAAGAAGAAGACTACTAATTATTTTAATTTTATTTTATTGGTATTCAAACTTCTCTGGTACCCAAGTTTACAGAAAATTGTATTAAAATCTAGAATAATAGAAAACATCACTAGACATATGCCGTGATGGATTCAGTGAAACTAGTTTGATATCCGTAAATGTTGATGTATTTTCTATGGACTTGATCAAACTTAATTCGAGAAAGCTAGAAGACTTATATTTTATATTCATGGGAGTACTACTACATGTACTTTGCGTTACAATTAATACAAAAACAATTCTACTTTAGATAACATTAACCTCTCAATTTAGAGCAAATTATATTATTATAATACGATCTATTCTTTGATTTTATTTATTACCTACAATTTTTAAATATCCATAACATCCCATCAAATTGCTAACAGCAGTAGCTTTATTTAGTCATCCCCCAGTAGATCGGCAGCTACCAAGTTAGAGAGGTCATGTCAGGTTGATCATGGACGTTGAATCTTTGCTGGATAGTTGGATCGGGTGCTACTGCTAGCAGTTGCAACTGCACCTGATCAAGTCCGGAAATGACATATGCTTATGGTCTATTTTTGCTCCTATAAGTCCAATGATATTAGCTACAATTTATGACTACAATTTATAAACTTAGTTCATTGCAATATATGACTACAATTTATAAACTTAGTTCATTGCAAAAGACATTTCATTACATATCCAATGGCAACTGGTGCTGTTGTGCACTGCACTACCATCCACAAAATTGCACGGGCACCCATTTGACTAACACATCCAATTGGCAAACTAACCTGGCAACCACTAAACTAATCTAGGCAACTAAACTAACTAGATAACGTGCCAAATAAGAAGCTACTAACTTCATACATCTTCTTCCACATAATAGTAGCCACAACAGCCATTACCAAGAAAGCAAACACATCTACAATCATAGCAGTTGTAACTCCTTCCACGACAAAAGATATGTTCCCCTTCCCAACAACCTCTTTCCTGATCTATTCTTTGGTATCATTGATTTTGATAATCACATCACTACTGTTGACCTTCAACTCACTGAGCTCGAGTCTAACACAATTCCATGTTCAAGCCGCCTTCACATCTGCTCCATCTCTTGTTTAGACTGGATCCACAGCTCCTGGGTTTAGCAATAAAGGATGATTGGCGCGTAGATACTCCACATAGGCAGCCTCAAACCAGTAGTACCCACACGTAATGTCATTCTATTGAACAAAGAATCCCAAATATGTTGCTCAACCATACAGAAACATAAGAAATCAGTGAAACGACCTAAAACTAACATATCGAGAAGTTGTTTGGGCACTTGTAGAACACCTCATCTTTCTTACTCTTGCACCTTATTATCACCTGGATGCCGCACTTAGGGCAATTGATTCGAGGCAAGCCAGTGATTTGGTTCGAGCCTGCGATGTGCTCGATCGTGCACCGGTGGACAGCTACGTAGCAGGAACGGTGCTAGCAAGGCCGCACAAGGGCCAACAGCGAGGGGGGAGGGAGGATGCCGGAGCAAAGGGAGCACGCTGGCGCCTGTGTGAGATCTGGAACGGGAAAAGAATTGAAGACGGTAGTTGGGGGAAGAGGAGAGACGGAAACGGCTAAGAGGCGTTGGCGGGGGCAAAATAGATCGTACACATATACAAATACCCCTTCATATGCCTATCAATGGCCCCAAGTCATCTACAGGCATAGAAAATGGCACATTTCAGCTTTAGCAAGAATTCCAATGGCAATGGCATAGTTTCTTAAATATTTATAGCGCGCTTCAAAAACTATGTTCTTAAACACATATGTACCATGACAATCAAGCTGAGTGAATTTATGTACTACCACTTGGACAATGTAGCCAAGTGAATCTAAACTCTCACTTGCCTGATCAAGTAGAGTAAATTTATGCTTTTGGTCAACAAGATAAGTGCCATTTGCTAGGCCGATTTTACCAGAATAGTTTGGGTTCGTTTATTTTGGATGCGAACAATGGCCTTTTCTATTGTGAGAAGGTGTGGCAGAACCGTCCAAAATAACACGGTTTCGGAGGTGCTCGTCTTCCACTAGACACTAAGCACTCCGAAAGTTAGCTATATCGGACAGTTTCATCGAGCACACCCCAGAGAAGAACTCGAAACAATCCATGTTTTATATCCAGAATCCAATAATGAGTACGAGTTTATAATACTTAGTCTATTTCATACAACAAGAGTTCTTGAAAATAATTTATTACAATACCAGAGTTCAGAGTGCGATAATTAAATAGCGGAATGGAAATAAACATCTAGCGGAAGCGATACAAGGATCCGTCTGTGCCCACCAGAAGAATCCTCCACACAAGAGCTACTCCTCAAGTTGCACCTGCAATAGGGGTAAAATAAACCCTGAGTACACAATGTACTCGCAAGACTTACCCGACTAGTGAGAATCGTTTCCCGACTCTCAAGGATATGATAGGCAATATGGGTTTGCTGGTTTCTTTTTGTTTACGAAAAGCATTACTAGGAGTACGTCCTTAAGATCAAGTTTAATTAGCAGTCATGATTACTTCATTAGCTAACTATTCTAGGTAAGCACATGTTCTACTTTCAAGCAAGGGTTAATCAATCAGAACCATTTCACCATCTTTCATCTTCCAGTTCTTACTACGGTGCTAGACCATAGCCAAGTTGTACCGTCTCACGGAAATGGTGATTCATGAACCAATGTATCCTAGCTGGGTACCCCAAAACACACGTCCCGTTTGTACCCCAGGCACAAACAAGACCAGCCCATTCCATTCCTGTCACGGGGTCTAGGTCCTCGTCCAAACTTGGACTCCAAGTCCCACACTTGAGACCCGGTCTTAGTATGGTGCTTAGACCTCCACCTTTCCCCGCCTTCAATCAGTCGATCCAAAAAGAGCCGGAACCCATGACAAGAGCATAAAGAGCCTTCCTGCTCCCATAAACAAGTATGTGCTCAGGATAATAAGTCCGTGACCTAACTACCATCCACAGCAACGGACGGTCCTTAATCGACACGAACAGGAAAAACAGTGTAACCAAGCTAAGCCCCGTTGGCCGCATGACACAACCTGTTACACCCACCAATACCCATACCATATCCCTGCCCTGTCTCTATTTTTTCTTTCATCATTTTATTATGAGGGTAATAATAATCCCCTATTGTGAGCAACGACAGGTTACTCATGTTATCGATGACCTAAGCATAGCATTTACTCGAACCTGCACTAGTAAGACTCTTAGGACAGGTGTATCTATGCATGCAGTTTTCATAAAATTCCTATAACATAAACACACAACACATTTATATACGGTGAATTATAAAATAGAGGTTATGCATCGGGGCTTGTCTTAGGCAGGCGCGGTGTCAGCTGAGTCAGTCAGTGGCGGCTCTAGGACCTCCTCCTACACAAAAATCTCCTTCTTGTACTCCTCGATGATCTTCTCGAACTCGTGA